TCAGGTCATGTGTGTGGCATGTCCAGGCGAAGCGCCTAGATTTGTCGGTCATAGCGTCCACTCCCACCTGACCAGCTCGGAGTGCGATTGGGACTGAGGATGTAAGACACATAACTAACACATTTCGGAACTTGATAGGAGACTATGCCTCCAGATTGCTGATAATTCATTGTTTCAGGGTGTCTTGTTGTTCACGTGTGATCCGAGTTGATCATCATCACCGACTTCGAGACACGATGCGATGGCTGTGTGATCATGACAGATACGGTTCCTGACCTATCTGATGATGAATAACCACAAACTGCGCACTCGAGTCCTTGTAACGCACGAACCACCCACCCTGCATCCACGAAGGTTACACTGGCTCGAACGAACGACCAACCTTCAAAAAAAGGCAGAGTTTGGCTTCCGCCGTCACCGACATGATCTTCGCCGCCCGTCAACTGCAGGAAAAGTGTCACGAGATGCCGACCTAGTTCTACTCCACCCTCGTGGATCTGATGAAAGACTTCGACATGATGCATCGTGACAGACGGTGGAAAATTATGCAGAAAGTCGTCTGTCCCGAGCGATTCACTCAGATGGTGTGTCAGCTGAACGATGGCATGATGGCGCCAGTCACGGACAATGGAGCTGTCTCGGAGGCATTCGCTGAGAACAGCAGAGTGAATCAGGGCTGCGCTCTCAGACCTAGCCTCTTCCAACCCGTTGCGTGGCACTTTTCTAACAATCAGTATAACAGTTCTGCATGCGCAGATAGCGCGAACAGCAAGGGAGTTCCACACTATTTGAACTATCTCGGGTCCTCTGCTCAGGACAATTGCGTCGGCAGTTCCCACCCTATCCCCCTCCCTCTTCCCCACACACACACGCACACACACGGTAATCCGCGTATTTGCCACTCAGAATGAACGACAACAATCTCCGGGTCAGATCCCATTTCGTTGCCTTACCTGCAGTAGACAGACTCCAGCCTAACCCCATTATCCTAACCCCAACTGCAACCCACAACCCTGATACCTAATCGCAGTCCCTAACCCTAACCTCTAACATGTACGGCTACGAAATAGGATCTTGCCCATCTCCAAGATACTTTGCAGTGAATCATTTTATTTTAGTGAATAGATTCGAGAATAAAGTTTTCGACAGAGGACTGAAAGAAATCAGCATGCAACTTGTGTGGCAGCTGCCAGCCAGCCTTCTGATCCGCGTCAGACCTGGCGGGCCAGAGGGTTGAACAGCAGCACGAACAGGCGAGGAGAGCCGATTCAGTCGATTGACTGTTGGCATCCTGGTATCGCCTTGCCTCAGAGTGCCGGGATGCAATGTGCAGTAGTGGCATCCCGAGGAGACGCTGCGGCAGGCAGCGGAGATCGGCAGGACCCATACGTCGGAGCTCCTTTGTCCCAACGTAGACAGGCCAACTATCTCGCATGTACGCTCTACCATAGACAGCCTGCAGCGGAAGACGACGGCTGTCTGGCAAGAAGTCCACCGAACCGGGGGTGCCTCCCATAATCTGACCACCATTCCCCGATCCGTCCTCTGCGCCAATATCTTCCTCCAGCTCCCAGACCACCAAGCCCTCAATCGAGCCTGAATGCATGAATTAAGCTTCCTTCGTATGTCGGCGTACAATAAGCAGGTAGCAAATGGAAAAGACTTGACGGTAGCACGCTGATCACACACACACACACACCCACACACACACGAAATAATAATGATAGCATTTCCCATCATTCCGCTTTCATGTTCAGGCAAAATTAATTGTCTAGGAGGGCATTCAGTGACCCATTGAAGTGAAAAATCGGTAGACAGGAGAAATTCCTTAAAATGTGGTAATTTGTGGAGGTATTTGGAATACTGGCCGAGTAGGTAAAACAGAGGAACTGGCGTTGAAACTGGAGCATTCCTTACTAAAATAAAACTGGCACACTCAAATGTGCCATGACGAACTAGGAGTGGTAGCTTGACGGGGCACCTCGGCACTTCCCA